GCTTTTTGGGTGATGCTGATGGCTGTGGGTCGCCGGAAGAGGCAGTAAGAGCGGCAGCTCACTAGAGAAACTGTGAGAAATTAGAGATGACTTTGGCAATTGGGTGACCAGCATCCATCCCAACCGACAAGTAGAAATTGTATTAACAAAGCTGATAATCGGGCACACAAGACCATTAACGGTCGCACATATAGTGGAAAGTGGGGGTGTGGGGGGTTGTGACCCCCCCCTGCAAAAAGCATCTGTCGGCAAATGAAACCCTAACCTGAGTTTTTTTGGCCAAATTGGTAATTTTGAAGATTTCTTCTGCTGCTAATTAGTCGGCGCTCTCTACGAATGGTTCACAGATAATAGAGTTATTGTGTGACTAATAAAGTCACCAATGCCCAACGCCCCAATGACCACGCCCTTTGTCATCAAATTTGAAACATTACACCCTCCTGCAATGCTGCCTTCCCGACGGCCCTGGCCAAGAGCCATTAACGGTCGCACATATAGTGGAAAGTGGGGGTGTGGGGGGTTGTGACACCCCCCTGAAAAAAGCATCTGTCGGCAAATGAAACCTTAAACCTGCATTTTTTTGGCAAATTGGTAAATTTTGAAAATTTCTGCTGCTAATTAGTCGGCGTTCTCTACGAATGGTTCACAGAACATAGAGTTATTGTGTGACTAATAAAGTCACCAATGCCCAACGCCTAATGACCACGCCCTTTGTCGGCAAATTTGAAACATTAAACCCCCCTGCAATGCTGCCTTCCCGACGGCCCTGGCCAAGAGCCATTAACGGTCGCACATATAGTGGAAAGTGGGGGTGTGGGGGGTTGTGACACCCCCCTGAAAAAAGCATCTGTCGGCAAATGAAACCTTAAACCTGCATTTTTTTGGCAAATTGGTAAATTTTGAAAATTTCTGCTGCTAATTAGTCGGCGTTCTCTACGAATGGTTCACAGATCATAGAGTTATTGTGTGACTAATAAAGTCACCAATGCCCAACGCCCAATGACCACGCCCTTTGTCGGCAAATTTGAAACATTACACCCTCCTGCAATGCTGCCTTCCCGACGGCCCTGGCCAAGAGCCATTAACGGTCGCACATATAGTGGAAAGTGGGGGTGTGGGGGGTTGTGACCCCCCCCTGCAAAAAGCATCTGTCGGCAAATGAAACCCTAAACCTGAGTTTTTTTGGCAAATTGGTAAATTTTGAAGATTTCTGCTGCTAATTAGTCGGCGCTCTCTACGAATGGTTCACAGATCATAGAGTTATTGTGTGACTAATAAAGTCACCAATGCCCAACGCCCAATGACCACGCCCTTTGTCATCAAATTTGAAACATTACACCCTCCTGCAATGCTGCCTTCCCGACGGCCCTGGCCAAGAGCCATTAACATGTGGTGGAAAGATGTGCAAAATTCTCAGACCAAAGACGAAGGTACTTGTCTCCCCCATATACACTGAGAAATGTATTGGGGGAGGATTGTGACACAGGTCTTATTAGGTTCCTTAGGGAAACTAATATTTTCAACAAAATTTAATTATGTGTAATGTTTATGCAATAATTTTATACATTTAGAGCATAATGTTTATGCTTTGATTTTTAATATAATATTTATTGTTATTTATGACATTTATTGATAGATTTTTAACGTTTTAAATATTCTAATATTTCAATCTAACAAGGTGTTTAATGACCTTAGCTGTTAACGCCGCAGATAATTTTAAATAACCAATGAATACCTCCATTGTTCCCTCCATTTATCACGAGGACAACTGATGCTGGATTTCAAGTCAGTGTGTGGGAGAGGAAAATGAGCATCACAAGGCTGATCGGCATCTATCTTGGCATTCTGATCAGCTTGCTCATTCCCACTGATACCAATATGTTACCTTTTTAAGTGCTGACATCAGTGCAAACCAATCTTGAACCTCCCTCACCTCCCAATGGATGGGATGATTTGTAAGATCTCTAGTCATCTTGATTGCTGCAAGGATGGCATGTAACTCTGCAGTGAAAATCAAGGTTTCTGCTTACTGCTGCAAAGCCCACACCATCTTTATATATTGCATATGATCCCTGGTACTTAGAAGTGTGTTGAAGAAATATCTCTGAATTCTGCTTCGGATCTCTCCCCTTTCCCAATTCCGACCAAATCTACCTCGACTCGATTAGTCCAAGGAGGGACTAGGGAAGTTCTAACAGCCAGAACCCTTGTGAGATTTAAATTTAGATCTTCCACAAGATTCCTCATTCTCTTACCATAGGATTGGCTATCCTCAAGGAGGTTGAAAACCGATCTGGATGTAGATCTCGGAATCCTTTGTAGTCTCGTGTAGAAAATCAGGTTCATGTAATGAAAGAGGTGGTTCTCCACTCTCAGCATACATGGACTCCACAGGTGAAAAGCCACTATACAGATTCTCCGGAGAACAGTGGGAGTTGCAGATGAATAAGCCTCGCATCCATAGTCGAGTTTACTACAAATAAGTGCTCGGTAAAGTCGCAGAAGTGTTGTGCATTCTGCACTCCAAGATAGGTGTGAAAGAATGTGACGTCGCTGTGTGAAGGAATTCTGTATAGCAGTTTCCATCCTCACAAGTGCATCTGTGGTCGATCTCAGTTTTCTAAACCCATATTGATATGGGGTCAGCATATTTCCCTTTTCTAGCAATTATGTCAACCTGAAATTTACCATTTTCTCCATCAACTTGCAAATGCAGCTGGTGAGAGAAATAGTCTATTATTCCCTGGTATGGAAGCATCCCTGCCAGGTTTAGGGACAGGAATGATGATAGCTTCTTTCCATTAGATGGCACTGTGTCCTCCCTATAGATCCTATTGAATAGATCTTAGAGGAACTTTTGGGAGCTCTCCAAAGCAGAGTCCATCTTGCGGAAAAATGGCAAGTTGTATGGAAGCAGAATGCTGCAGTGCGACTGAAGAATGATACTGGATATCATTCCTGTTCAGCCCAAAGAGTGGAGAATCGGGCAATGTAAAATGCTCCAGAGATCATCAAACAAACTGCGAGAGATTAGAGATGACCTTGGCAGTTGAGTGACCAGCATCCATCCCAACCGACAAGTAGAAGTTGTATTAACAAGGCTGAGAATCGGGTACACAAGGAAAAGGAGAAGTCAGATATGCGAAGCTGAGCCTCGCCTGGGCTATGCCCATGACGGAGCCCGGCCTGTGTCGACTAATGCCGACGCTAACGTGTGTCAGCTGTTGCTGACTCGGCTAAACTTAGTCCTTACCCGCCGTGATGCCCAGCCACAGCAGTGACCTCCAGGTGACAATTGCAACTTCTTACACCTGGGCGGGTCGCGAACCGTCGACCCCTCGGATGAAAGGCCGACACGTTACCCCTGTACTAGCCCAGAGGCTTCAGGCACACAAGATTGACTCATGAGCTGTGAGGAATGCTGAGGGCCATTAACGGTCGCGCATGTAGTTCAAAGATACAACATTCTCAGACCAAAGACGCAGGTATTTGTCTCCGCAATATACACTGAACAAATGTATCGGGGGAGGATTGTGACATTGAAGGTCTAATTAGATTCCTTAGGGAAGCTAAATTTTAATTATGCACAATGCTTATGAAATAGTTTTTAGACATTTAGAACATAAATTCTGAAATTCTTAATCCTCTTAAGATGCAGGAATCATACAATGTATCTGTTGATCGTAAAGGCTGGATAGTAAATATATAAGGCCTGTTTATAAAACATGGGAAGATCAACGCATTGGAGTTTTCTGAATACTGCCAATTAGAGGTCAGTGTTTTCAAAGACTCTGATTGGTTGGTGAGTGCGTTGCAACACGCAAGAGAGAGAGAAAACTCTCGGCAAAGATAGTCGCAAACAAACACCCGAGAGAGAGAGAGAGAGAGAGATAAATGGTTTTAGAAACTGGTTTTAGGAATAGATTGCGATAAGAGAAGATGATGGTGACGAAACCTACACGCAAATTTCTTCGTGCCATCTACACTGGGCCTTACAATGAATTACAAAGCTAATGCTTCTTGCAGCATCATTTCTAACCTTTGGAAATAATACTTTAAACTGTATAGTAAATACAATTATCATATGATCATTACGAAGGTAAACATTTAACAATTAACACATAACAGCTTCAAGAACATATATAGAATATATTGAATATTTTTCCTAGTTCGTAAACTTATCCCTTGATTACTTCGTAATAAGTTAATACTGATATACATTATTATTATTATTTTCTCCAGACTAAAATACAATATACAAGTTTCTATTGTTATTGAATAAATACTACCTTTATGCTAAGCGTTGTATTAGTAAATCAAAAGAAGACACCTTAAGTATCACATGCGGAAAAAAATGTAATTTACAGGGAAGATATGAGAATATACAATAGCAGCATTTACATTATAAATACCAGGAGGCCAGGTTCGGAACCCCCTAAGGACATCGCCTTCCTCTCCTTCGCATACAACCATAGATGAAGGTATATTGCAAGTGAATTAGAAGCACATTCGTGCGATAATTATCGTCACAATATCATCTTAGTCATTATTATTAGTATTAGTATTGTTTTGCTAATAGCTACTGGTATTGCAATTTTGAAATTATCTACCTTTATACCTGAAATCTCTACTGAAAACACCTAAACAATTTGTCGAAAAATCGTTTATAAAATGATCTTTTTGTCGTGATCATGGGTTGCCTCTTTATTTTCGCGATAGAAGATATACAAAGTACATGAACAAATAAACTGCCAACACCCTTGATCCCACGGCAAAAAAAGGGGGCGGGCCTAAACCATGACGTCATACCCGCCGACACGTGTGAGAGCCAAGGGACGAGTGAAGAAACTCCAAAGCTACCGAAAAGGCCTTTATAGTGCCTTTACACACGTGAAAACGCATATAAAATAATGGCCATTAATGGGATCTGAAATGATTCAGTGGAAATTGTGAGGAAAATTCTACACACACACACAGGGTAAAAGTGACTTTTGGTTTTGCTGGCGAAGAAAAATCTTTTGACACTTTCAGCATTTATTGATTGCAATACAGGTATTACAAGATAGTGACCAGCGGTGCCATGAACAAACTGATTATTTAAAATTATCTAAGGTCTAAACGATAAGCTAACATAGCGTGATTGACAGAAAACACACTTTGCATGATATAAAATAAATAGATGAATAAGTAAAATTTCTGCCGATGTACATCTTTCATAAAAAAATGTAAAAATACAACTTTGACTCTCTACAGTATGGTTGTATCTGGCAAAAAAAAAAAAACAAGTTAATCAGTAAGCTCAGTAATAGCACAAAATGCCCCGAGAAAGTTAGCAGGTGTACATTATTTTTTATGTATGCTATCCGCATATAGTTATTTGAATATATATATAGATAGATAGATAAATAGATAGATAGATAGATATAGATATATCCTACTCCAATTACTATATACTTTCTTTTCAACTAATAATTGCTAGAACTTACGGAACACCCTATATATGATGCATATATACACCAACAAATATAGAACAACACATATACCCACATGCATATCAAGTGAGTGCATGCATAAATAATGACATTATTTAACACGGAGTTTTAAGAACTTCATCCACGAACAGAAAGTATATGAATATCAGCCTTATCGACAAGGGAATTCTTACGTTAATTATAGAACGGTTATATAAATTAGAATAGCAACTTCCGTAAAGATTTTTTTTCAACCAGTGTCATTTTATTTATATCTACTTAATCTTGAAGGGAATTTGGTATGTATGTGTGCGTTTCAAGCCTTATAATAATAATAGAAATAGTTATGATATTTATGTCATTAATTATGAACGTAGTCATGACAATATCATAAAATATTGATAATAATTTTCATCGTAACAGAAGGACGATTAACTAACAAGGATAAGAGTAATATGACAAATAACATTGGTAATAATAATAATTATATTAATAATGATAACAAATATTATAACTACAACATTTTTGTTGGTACCAATACTAATATCAATTATTGCATCAAAATGGGCTGATATCGATAACAGTGATTCATATGATAATTAACAGTAATAGTAAAACAAATGATAATGCTAATATTTACTAGTAGTAATAATAACAAAACATATAACAGTAGTTATAATGATGCAGGTAGTATTAAAGGTACTGGTAATATCAGTAATAACAATGGTGATATTAATAGCACTAATGCAAAGAATAAAAAGGTACAAGTGAAACTGCTAGAAAAATAATACTGATAACAATTATCTAAACCATTAGAAATATATGATGGCTAAATACCATAATGGTAATGATAGTAATGATGCTACTGCTATCACAATGGTAATGCCTATAACATTTGCAGTGATGGTCATACAAGTTATAAAGTTACTGATGGCAGTTCAAGTGGTAAAGTCAATAATATTCCTAATATTAAGCTATTCGTAATTCTAGAACAATATAATGGTTTACAGTAGTAAAAGGTAGCTCATGATGTCGATAATAATTATAATTATTAAGAGTAATGCAATATCATAATGGCTACTATTACCATATAACTTGTGGTCTTACTATTGTTACATTGCCGTTTGATTATCCTTAAAATTATTGTATCTATAGTAGAACAGGTATTAGCAGTTATAGTGCGAGTAATGCTATTACAACAGCTTTCATCTTTATAGTTTTATCTTCATCATTACTACTATTATAATCATACTTATCATACTTATCAGGCCCTTTTTCATTGTCATCTTCGCCAATATTATTATTGCGGGTATTATGATTACCACAAGTACCATCTCTAACAGGACCACGAAAGGTAGCAGGCATATCGTACACTCGGAGTGACTTTGCCGTTTCCCCGTTAATCCGAATTCCATAGCCACATCCACAATGTCAGAGTAATGTAGATGAAGTGGGTGTCAAGATTAAGTCCTTGCAATGCTGCCTTTTTAACAACTTTTGT